GTCCGGGGAAATCCGGACGAATGGTAACCCTAGGTGAAGGGTGGTACGGGGCCTGGGCCATATGGTGCTGGGGGTCTGTTGCAGTTGAGGGGCACAGAGACTGTCCCAGAGGGGTCCGGGGACACAAGGCAGGTGGAGGGGCAGGGCCTGGCACAGAGGCGGCTGGACACCCAGGAAGGTCGGGGGGGGACAGGGCCTAGCTCAGTGTGGAATGGGGCCCTGGGGCAGCTGGGGGGATGGGCTGTGGCCCGGAGGGGGCTGGGGGCCCAGGGCAGGTGTGGGGGGGCACAAACTGAATTTGTCGCTGATGGGCCCAGCCATGGGAGCGATGCTAAGGGGCTGGGGAGCCCAGCCCAGAGACAGTAGCACTGGGGTTAACCAAACCCGGTTATTAGGAGGTGGGGCTGGATTATGAGGCTGGGGCTAATGAGGTGAGCGGGGTGAAGCAGGGGGGACGAGGTGGGGGCACACGGGGCTGCTCCAGGAGGCCATGTGGGGAGTATCGGGAGTTGCGAGGGAGGAGGCTCTCACCAGCCTTTGATACTTACGCTGAACTTCGACCGATTCCCTCGCAGAGAGGCTCAGATACCCCCAGCCGGCGCCAGAGACCCAGACCCCGCACGCGTAGCTCCCTCCATCAGAGACGGCTGCCTTGTCAACACGTAAGTCCTTCCTGGTTTCTGTCAGCCACACGTCCCCGCGGGACCAGATGTACACGGCGACGGGCCGCAGGCCAGCAGCCCGGCAGCGCAGGGTAAAATTGTTGCCTTCCCTTAGCGCTGCCTGCCCTGCCGGCCACGAAACCTCGACCCTGGGCAACTTGGGGGTGGCTGAGGGCGAGAGTTGGGTGAGAGTTCATCAGCGGGGTCCCGGGACCGAACGAAGGGGCAGGTCCCTCCCCGTCCAGTCCCATGGGGCAAGAATATTTGCTAGAGCCAGATGAGAGTTTTTGAGGGAATAGAACCCAGGAGTCCTGATTCCCAGCATCCCCCGCTCTCACGCACAGATCCACTCCCCTCCCAGAGCTGGGGAAAGAACCCAGGAGTCCTGGCACCGAGTCTCCCCCATTTTAACCCACTAGACCACCCCCCTCCCCAAAATGGGGATAGAAGCCAAGAATCCTGACTCCATCCTCCCCCGCTCTAGCCACTAGTCCCCATTCTTCTCATCTCTCTGTCAGGGATAGAACCCAGGCATCCTGGCTCCTAGTTCCCCCTGCTCTACCCATGCCATGTCTAGCAGCAGAACTCACCTGTCCCCAGGGGCTGGGATTGGTCAGAGTCACACTCATCCCTGTATCCATCCACCTGGCATCTCAGCACCACGCCGGGGTCCAGCTGGGACGGGGATATTAGCAGCTCGATCGCCCTAGCCCAGGCCAGGGTTTGCTCTGGGCTCTGCTGCGCGCCATCTCGGTCGTACCAGGAGGGGGGATGGGGGCACTTGGCCTCCACAGAGCAGATGAGGGAGGGTCCTGGTTCCATTCGGCGCCCCAGGGAGGGCTGGCACGGATGGGCTGTGAGGAGAGGAGGGGTCAGGAGCCATTGAACCCTGCTGGGGCCCTGGGGCTGGCAGCGCTCCCAGGGGCCGCGGCCTGGCTGCAGAGCGGGGAGCAGCCCCCAGGGGGCGGGCACAGCCCAGCCTGGGAACTCGGCTGGCCGGGGCAATGAGGGCTCATGGCCTGAGACACAGGGAGCGCTGGGTCTGCCCGGAGGGGCGCAGCCGTCAGTCGGGGGCACCACACATCGGGCCTCAGACCAGAGCCCTAAGCGGGACTGTTTTTAATTCTGTCCCGTTCCTGTTATTCAAGTGCCCGGCTTTGTTTTTTGCATTTTCATCCCCCTCCCAGCCACAAAAACCTTCGATCCCACAAATCCCGCAAGAGAGACAGATTCCCCCATGCTGCTAAAAACCAACCAACCGACCGACAGAAACCGCTGGGTGAAGAGATGATCGATACCAACGGAATTCAGACACCATTTTTACCACTAAAAGAATAAAACAAATCTTGCTTGAACCAGGTACAAACACCCTGTAACTCCTGTTATCACAGAACGTGTCTCTGACCTGACTTGGGCCGGTGCATTTCCCCAGATTTGGAGCGAGGGAGATAAACATGGAGAGGACAGAGAAGCTCAAACAAAATATTTAGCAATTTCCCCAGTAGGCGACTCTTGGTACATTTATGAGATTTAGTGTTTTCCAGCCAATTCCCACAGCCTGGTTTTTTTGCCCACCCGAATCCACCCCAACAAAGCACATTTTACCGGCTCCCGCTGTTCTGCCGGGGGGTCCTGCAGGGTCCCAGTCCCACTATCGGGCTCCACCTGAGAGCCCCTCACGCCTGCGGCATTACGCTGGCTGCAGGGTCAGTCTCAGCGGCTCTTCAGCACAGCCCAAGGGTTAGACAGAGTGACGGGGACTCGGGTCTGACAACACAGCCTAGGAGTCTGACCCACAAGTCCCCCCTGCTCTAACCACTACACCCCACTTCCCCGAGAGCTGGGGAGAGAACCCAGGAGTCCTGGTCCCTTCTCTAACCACTCCCCCTGCTTTAGTCCTGGCTCCCAGCCAGGGGCAGCTCCAGCGTATGCCGAAGGGGCGGGACTGGCGGACCTCCCACAGGCCACCGACGGCTGCCTGACTGCCCTGCTTCGGGCTGCAAAGTACATAGAGCCGCCCCTGCTCCCAGCTCTAAGCACATGGATTTCAGAGTAAGGCAGAAGAGAGAGAGAGAGAGAGAGAGAGTGTGTGTGTGTGTGAGAGAGAGAGAGAGAGAGAGAGAGAGACGGACCGGG